CCGGCCACGGCGTCTCCGCGAAGCTCCTCCCCGGGGTCCGCCCGCCAGTCGGCAGCCGCGCCCCAGTAGCTGGGAGCCGGGCTGGCGACCCGTGCGGGTCAGACCCAGAGCTCCCTCACACCGGTCCTCCCACGAAAGAAGCATCCGCCGGCCTCCCGCCCCTGGGCCGAACTTCACTGTAGGCCCACTCCGCCAAATATGTGCAGTTAAAAAAAGATCCCAACACCGAAAGAAAGGGTTAAAATGCAGAAGCAGGATTTTACTGGCCTTTCGAGACCCGGTCTCATAAATCATAATTCCCCCTCTAACCTTTTAAGATCTGTTTCTTGGCAATTTGTTTTTAAGGTCCAAAAATAAGGAAAGGGAAAACGCTTAGTCAAATGAACGATCTTAATGTAAAATAGGTCTTCCCGCTCCCCAATCCCAAATAGTAAGAGTATTGTAAAACCAGGTTAAAGAAAGTGGGGAAGGCCCTCTTGGAAAATTTCCAAGACCATCGCTACAATCCAGAAACCCGTAATTGTGAAATTCGCCCACCTCTGCGTCGATAATTCTCCATTAGTCAGCTCCACCCCCCAAAGACTAGTTTCCTCCCTCCTGGAGACTAGGAAATCAACAGAATCCCATTTCAACCCACGTAATCATAGAACCTTAGAATTTTAGAGATGAAAGAACTTTAGCGATCCTTGGTCCCAACTCTTAAACTAAATAAGGTTCAAAGTTTAGATGACCTGACCAAGGTTATACAGTAAAGCTCGGTCTCCACTCTATCTCTTCTTTTTTCTTTCCCTAGGAAACAAATGACCTTCCAAGTACCTAACATTCAGAGTTAATTTTCTTTAATACCTGTTTCCTCCAGTTCCTTCTGTTCTGAATTAATACCTAACCTTATGGGAAACCAAACAACTTTCTCTCTGGACTGGAAGTGTCCTTTCTTTGTTTCCTTCATAATCTTCATTAGGAGGATTTAATGTACCACGGTGTATTTATCCCCAGACATTTTCTATTGGTAACTGGGACAAGGCGAAGGGAGTGGCAAATCGCTACATATATAATACTACACATTTAATGCCCGCTGCTTTTCAAACTGAGAAAATATTTTGCAGAATGCCTTTAAAAGAGAAAAGGGGCGGCGCCAGTGGCTCAGTGAGTAGGGCTCAGGCCTCATATGCCAAGGGTGGCCGGTTGGAACCTGGCCCCGGCCAAGCTGCAACAAAAAATAGCTGGGTGTTGTGGCGGGCACCTGTAGTCCCAGCCTCGGGAGGCTGAGGCAAGAGAATCGCCTAAGCCCAAGAGCTGGAGGTTGCTGTGAGCTGTGACGCCACAGTTCTCTACCAAGAGAAACAAAGTGAGACTCTGTCTCTAAGAAAGTAAATAAATAAAATAAAATAAAATAAAATAATAAAAGAGAAAAGGATAGTAAGCCCTGAGGTCATTGTAAATTACATTTTCAAATATCAGTTGTTTTCTTATAAGTTAGAGAAGATAACCAGTAAAAAAGACTTTCGAAATAGAAAATAGCTGGCTCGGTGGTGCCTGTGGCTTAAGCGGCTAAGGCGCCAGCCACATACACCTGAGCTGTCGGGTTCAAATCCAGCCCGGCCGTCAAATAACAATGGCTGCAACCAAAAA